TCCTGAAAATCCTAAATGATTTGGGAATCTCCAGTCACCTTCATCTCCATATGTTCCCATCAATGGACATGAGACACACTGTTTCAAGTGGAGGGCCTTGTCACTTCTTCACCCTATTTCTGAGGATCTCTACTTAGGAAGACCTGCCTATATTGTTTTGCTATTTTTCCAAAGATTCCTCTTCTGAATAGGCTGTAATTTTGCTTTTAACATTAATTCAGTTTTTTTTTCATACGGATTGCCGCAAAGCATTTTAATATATATTATTCTGCAAAATGCCCTGAAAATATTGAAGTGTAGCATACATTCCTGAAACAGATGAAATTAAAAATAATTAGAGCACTTTGTTACAATTTTCTACTTTTGTAGTTCACTAAGATATATTCTCCTTGTTGTTAAATCATAGAATATAGATGATACTTCTTTCACTGTATATTGCCAACAGACTTCAGGGGTTGTTAATATAATACTTTAAATTAATATACGCTCTATTTTTTATATTTAATTAATACATGCATGTGGTGCATTAGTAAAACACACAAATGAAATCTTGATGCAATTAGATATATGACACTAAAATTGATTGCAGTGAGTTTTGTTCATCACACGTGTGTGCTTATAAAAACAGAGAATGCTGCCTTTTAGGTAGGCAGGAATTTTTCAGGATTTTAAATATGTGCTTTTTATTTATTTATTTATTTATTTAATTTATATGTCACTCTTCTCACTGTCCAATTACGCTGGGCAGCTCTTGACGCTTTAGAGCAGGGGCGTCCAACCTTGGCGACTTTAAGACTTGTGGACTTCAACTCCCAGAATTCCCCTGCATTCCCCTGAATTTACTAGATACCATTAGTGGTCTACAAATCCTAGTGGTCTAAATTTAAAACAAGGTGTTATCCAAAGACAATCACAAGAGACAGAAAGCTGTAGCAAAGTGCATATGCTTTATATACAAAATTTGGAAATAAAAAAGAGAGCACATGGAACAGGGGACATGGAACAGATTTGTCCAATCTGAGAAACAACCTGGGAAAAATGGAGTGAATTTTGGAAGTGTATATATCAAAGTTACAACGTGATCCTTACTGACAGCTAGTCGAGACGTGGACATGAAATCCCAAGCCATTTCCTACCCACGGAGACAGGGGAAGAGTAATTTTGAATTTGCCAGTTATCTAACCACTCACAGTTCTCAAAGTAAAACTTGTGGAAGTCCATCCCCTCCACGAGGTTTCCCAGTGCTTCGGGTTCAAATGAGGTCAGCCCAGGATCACAGATCTTCCTATAACAAATGAAATAATCTGATCTCATCGGCATCTAAACCTTGAAATCATTTATCAGAGAACTGCAACTATTATCACACGTTGTTAGTACTGTGCCACTTTGATGCAGAAAGTTTTCCCTATCCCCAAAAAACCCCCACCTGAAGCAGCTTCAAATAGTAGGATACAATCATTTATGCTAATAATTTCTTGCTTTAAAGACGATCTTAACTCTCTCTTGGACTGATAAAATAGATGCAGATTATAGGAAAACAAACCTTGGGGGGAAACTGTTCTAGTTCCAAATTCAATGTATGGGTTTTTACCTGTGATTCGTTTCCAAGTACATTTATTTATGCCCATTTTCTACTCCCATTAGGACTCAATACACAGACTCATAATTTCCTCCTGTCTAACGATTCATTTGCAGATTAACTAACCACTTTTGCAGAGAGAAACAAAACAAAACAAGTAATATTTTTGTATAGAGGAAGGAATTTGATACAACGAATGACCATTGTTTCATGCTTTCAAAATCTTGATATTGACAGAAGTGCATTTATTACACGTGTTTCATACTGGTTCTACAGCATCACAAAATATTCACTTATGCCTTTCTGGTGTTCTAAGCTAAAAAACACAAAGGCACATTTGACACTCACTGTTATCATCAATAGGTTACAAGTATTTCTGGCTATTAGTTGGGACAAGCTTTCATAGCTTATGTAACTAATTATAGGTGTAGTTACAACTGGGACTGGCAACTTGGTTAAGCCAAGCAATCACGAAGTGAACCTGCAACTGGGCTGATGATCTATCTTCAGCTTTCCATTGCTTTGCAGACCTGCAAAAGTTGTTAAAAAGAAATGCGAGGATTGATCACAAAGTTACTTTCTCATCGCTGTTGTAATTGTGGTAACCACCAAATGAGGACTAACTATATGGTCATTATAATACATAAAGAGACCTCCGCATTTCTTCACTTACGTGTAAGCTTCAAAGTCTCCATTGTTGATTGCTTCAATCAGCTGTTCCGTTATCTTGATGATTTCTTGCTTACGCACTGAAGGCAAAGCAAGAAAAAGACAATTTTAAAGCACTGGAATTATGAAAAATGTATGGTGAATAAGACACTCCCTTTAAGAGAATCAACAGGGTTGATACTAGTCTTCTTGAGAGGCAGCACAGCAATGAGGCTAACCATTTGGAGAATGGGTTAACAACTATGGCCCCTTTACAACCGGTGGACTTCAACTCCTAGAATTCCTGAGCCAGCAAAGCATATCTGGATCAGGAATTTTGGGAGCTGAGGTCCATCGGCGGTAAAGGGGCCATAGTTGCCTACCCAATTTGGAGGGATGGCATCTGCTGTTAAGAAAAAATAGCTCAGGAAACAGGCTGCACCATTCAGAAAGTCAAGATATTGTACTAAATTTAAAATATAATCTCCATATAGAGCAGTAATGTTCTCAGAGTCAAGGAACAAATCTTGAAGCGTCACCTCTGTGATGGGAAAAATTCACCGTATGATGCAACTCTGAAGAAATGGGCCCATTACAGGTCTATCATTGGTTTATTACTCCCTCACAAACTAAGCAATTGTACCAGGAATGTTCTTCTTTTTTTTTAATCCAACGGCCACAATTGGATTTTTACCGACAGTAATAAATTTAAATTAGATATCCTCAGTATAATCGATTTTCTTTTAAAAAAAATCCATCAAATTAGACATTACAATTTAGTAGCAAATTCTGGAAGGTTTGTATTCTAGTTATTTTAAGGGGCTGTACCCTTGCTCTCATGTTATGCAGTTCTAGCTTGAACCACAATTTGTATTTTGTAAACTACTGTGGTTCTGTAGAGACCTGGGTTACGGTAACTATGATTTGTATTGATAAACACTAGAATGTCATCACCACCAGTGGGAATGGATTGTACAATCACGCTGAGGTTGGTGGGACAAAATGCAGATCTGCAGGAAGAAGCTTAATTGTGTTTGCACTGACCCAGATAAGATTATAGCAAGACTGCCGGTTCTTTGAAACTTCCAACAAATTACACAAACGTGGGATTTCCGTTGGAGAACTTCAAACACATTAACAGAAGGACACAATGATAGGTTTTCAGACACTGCCTCCAATGTCTGCTTGGTGACTTAAGTAAATGATTTAATAGCAAGTATTTTTATTCTTGAATAAAGTTGCTGCTTCTCCTGACAATGTCCCAAGTGTGGTCTCATTCTGTTCGACTAGAGTGTCTTTGCTAAACTGATGCAAAGTCATCAAATGACTTTTCTTGCAGATTGCGATTTGAATCATCTGAAGAAGTGTCACACTGCAGCAATTCTCAGAGAAATAGCTCATAGACTAGACTAGGGGTAGGCAACTTTGGCTCTTTTATGACTCGTGGACTTCAACTCCCAGAATTCCTGAGCCAGCCATGCTGAGGAGAAATGGAGAGGTTTCCATGCTGAGCCATGCTGTCTCAGGAATTCTGGGAGTTGAAGTCCACGAGTCATAAAAGAGCCAAGGTTGCCTACCCCTGGACTAGACTGAGCAGAGTCTGTTGGTATGAAGAAACTATCTTGGTTATGTTGGTTATGAAAATGTTCAGGCTTTCATTTGAACAAACATTTTCACACCTTATTCAAGTAGCCTTTGTGGCTGACTACTATTCTCAGTTTTATGTATGCCACAACAACTTTGTGGCAGTTCAAAATTCTAACTCTCACCATGTAAGGAAATTATTTAAGGCAAAGTTTTAACTGCACACAGTAAGCATATGGTTAGGATTCAGACACCCTCCACCTGAGCAATAGCACATTTAATATCTGTTTCTGATTTCCTCCACGACAGAAATAAATAGCTTCAAAAAACAGGCTCATTTGTAGGCCTTGAAAGTTTACAGACATGTCATGGGGATGATAAAGTCTTATCCAAGACTTTAAAGTCTTCTGAATGGTATCCACTGGTGTAATGCATTACATATAATGCTTTTCTTCTCTTTATCCAATTACAAGAAAACATGCAATTCCATCAAATACTTTTGTAAAAGCAGACGTGTGCGGCTTATCACGTGTCTGTCAATCTTTTCTGAAGTCAGAGAGCAAAATGTTCGTGACGTCCTTAATCCTTACTAAATTTTCACTCGGTTCCCTTCTAAGAGTTTGCATAACCAAGCTCCTTGCTTTTGTGGAATCCACGCAAACCCTGAGCTTGAAACCATGGAATCAAAGCCCAATATCTTTGTCATCTACCACTTGCATACTGATTACTCTGTTCCCTTAGTTAATAGATACATTAAACCATTTGTGCTAGAATAGATTAAAAGGCCTGTTGTGTTCATCATTCCGTGGGCAGTTAGAACTGAATGGGTAGTACAAATGGAAGATATGAATGATGAAGCACTTTCTAAGTTCATATATTGAGCAATACATTGTTTTTGACCAATTGCTACTTTTGTTGGGCTTAGCATCAATAAAACAACAAATATTGTCAACAGACTGTAGACATGCCAGCTATTAAATTGTGCCCAAATAGACTGAACATCTCAACCAACGAGAAACATCACACTGTACTTTGTTGTCCAACAATCTATTTTTCTCTCTTTCCTACTTAACTGAGCCATTTTTCTATAGATCCGTGTCATAGTAAACAAAATATATTTATATTCCAATATTTGGGTGCAACTTTCCAAGTCTTGGCAACTTGAGATTAACAGCAGAGGCATATCACTATCAGGTCCATAAACTTTCCAATGAAATTCTGCATTTTTCTAACCATAATAGAAATAATATTCCTGCTGCAATAAATATATCCAGAGTTCAGATCTTTCAGTGCCTGCTAAATGGTAGGTAAATTTGTTACTACTGTGATTTGAGTCTGTAGAGGAATCCACTCTAAATTTTGGAGACCTGTTCTGAAAGCCCTTGAATCTTGTTAATTTCTGTGGAAACTCATATGCAGCTTGGCTGCCTGAAATATTGGATTAACTTCCTTTTTTATGGAGTACCTTAGTCATTTTAGATCTGTACAGAAAACAAGTATCCAATATTAACATATTATGGCCTATCAGCCCACCACCTGACTTTACTCAGCCTTGAAACAACTTGATTTGAGTACTCCAATAAACCTAAATAAAACCCAAACTATAGAGGTGTAAGCTTGTTTGGGAGATCATTCTCTTGTGTCCTATTTGTAAGCAAATATTTCTTGGACAGCTGAGTTTCTATCTTTATCTGCTACAAAAAAACATTTTCATCTTTGTTGTTAGAAGGAAGATTCAGTAATGATGAATATTTTATTACGGTTTTGGACTGAAGCAAACATGACAGCATGAACAGAAAGCTTTTAAAACCCAGTGGAGTGCAGTAATCATCATGGACAATAGACAGCAACACACAAACTTGCTTTCTATTGATCATTACATACAATAAAACCCCAAATTAAACTAAATAATCCACTGAAAATAAACAATCTCAATGATTTCAATGAGAATGGCAAAAAAAAAAACCTTTGCAGCATTCTTAGAAATCATCGCTCATCTACAGAAGAACAGTTTCTCTTAACATGTAGGTCTTCGTGGTGATCACGGTAGGTAGAAAAGACAATGAAGAAAGATGGCCAACATATTCAGTTCCCATCCTATGGCTTAGGCAAGGATGTTCCCACCTTGGCTTACAATCAAATACGCAGGAAGATTCCACAAGGGACACTTTGTCACTGTTTGACAGAGGAGACAGCAACAATTTATCACATGCTTTTGTGCTGTCCCTTCTTCACAGCATGGCAAGCTTACTGGCACATATAAATGCCCTTTGAAAGCCCACTCTAACAGCAGCTCAAAGGAGGCGAATACTTTGAGGACAAGTCATGTGTTATCTCTAGAAGAGATGCTAATTTGCTACAATTGACAATATTATCAGATGCATTACTTTCTTAGCATTTTTGTTTGCATTTCCATGTACACTTTTGTCTACAACTCTTGGTCAACAATGTTCAATTGGCCAATGACTTGTCCCAGACTGAAATGTAAGAGAATGCAGATAAAAGTCTGGCACAGGACAGTTTTCCAGGGATGGGGGACACTTAGTAATGAATAGATCTACTCTTCTAACTGGTTAATTCAAGCAGAAAGCGACAACTGCTACAAGGATGATAGGGAAGAAAGGTAGAAATAGAGAAATAAAGAGGGACATAAATCACTACTACTATTTCTCTACCTGCTACTACTGCTAATTAACAGCTAACTTACATGATAGACTGCTAAATGCAAATGGAACTACTGGAGTTAGGACAGGCTCCGACTGAGCACGATCCAACTCCACTGTTTGGCCTGGGCTATCCCAGGCAAGAAGTTTCTCTTCATAAGACAGTGTAGCAGTAGCTGCAAAACAAATGCAAGCATTAAAATAAAAATAAAAGCAGAAAGCAGGATAAGAATTGCAGTGAAAATACAAATCCACACCCATTTACATACTGTAGACCAGGGGTAGGCTACCTTGGCTCTTTTATGACTCGTGGACTTCAACTCCCAGAATTCCTGAGTCAGCATGGCTCAGCTTGGAAACCTCTCCCTTTCCCCTCAGCATGGCTGGCTCAGGGATTCTGGGAGTTGAAGTCCATGAGTCATGAGGGGGCCAAAGTTTCCCTCATGCTGGCTCAGGAATTTTGGGAATTGAAGTCCACGAGTCATAAAAGAGCCAAGGTTGCCTACCCCTGACATAGACAAACTCCCAGAGCACAGATTGGTCCCAGATAAAAGCAGCTCCAGGGCCATTCTTTGATGGATCTCTGGAAGACCTTCCCCACTGGAGAGACACCCCAAGCATCTTTTCAAAGAGATCCACTCTTTTGATGTACTGACTCTGATGTACTGACTCTGAGAACTAAATGAGACACAAGGTGGGGAATAAAATATTCCACAGATTCCACGTTACAATCAAAACTACATCGCAAGACAGAAGTTCATTGGTCTGACCCAGGAGCATAATTTCCGGACATTTAGGAGGAAACAAAAGACATGGCAATTATTTGGAATTTTTAAAAATGCCAATTTTAGCAAGGGAAAATGTCAGATCTTGTCCGCAAATCAGTATGTTGGAGAGGGCATTTTAGGAAGGCCAGATTATTATGTCCCTGTCTCAATATAACAATTTCTGAGTGAGCAACTCAACTTCTTAACCTCAATAGGTTAGGGGTCTGATCAAGGCTACTTTGAGTGTCATGGAAGAAAAGTGAGTTACAAATGCAGCAAACATAATGCTATTTTTCTAATTTGATTATTTGCTTCCTCTGTCTTATTGAAGAAAGATAGAAAACAGTAATACTAAGTGCCCACTAAGCAACAATCTTGGTGCTTTTCCCACCTCCTTTTCATGCAAGCAGAGAATCTCCTGTCTTCACAAATGCAACATTTGAGATTGTCTGTCTGAAAAAGCAGATTGACCCAACAGCTTTTCATGTATCTCCGTTTTTTTCATCCCTCCTAACACCTCTTCATATCTACTTCAGCTAATCCAGGCAGACTCCCCCCAAATGTGGAAATCTCTACGGAATAACAGTCAAATACCGAGCCACTTTTTAAATTAAAAAATTGTTTTTTCATTTCACTATCTACGCATGCACTTTGATGACTGTAAACCAGGCAAGAACATACTTAGTGACTTTTTGCAATCTGTCCAGATGTAATGGCTAGTATGCAAGGCATACCCTGGAAGATTTTTCTATTGAGTCAAGAAAGCTATGCTTTATCTCACCAAGTCCAAGGAAACGTCTTTAAATAACAGAACCGTTTTGTATTCCATCAGCCTGTGCAGACTTCAAGTCCGCACATCTTAAAATTGCCAACCAAATAAAACACTGGTCTAGTGGTTATATGAGCTGGAGGCAGAAACAAAAGATCGACAGCATATGAAACTGGCTTTGATAAACTTAAGATTAGTCAGGTTAGAAGTTGGTCAAACAAACTGAAGGATCACTTCATATTTTTTTTTTAAATTCTGAGGCTTGGGAGTTTCTGGTTTAAGTTCTTGGAGGATCAAACATAGCGCCTTTTGATAATTATGTAAAGTGAAACTAAGGAATTGTCTCAGCTTAGGTCTCATTTTTAATTATTCTATCTACAGAGAGGCAATTTCACGAGTAAAATGTGAAGGCGATGCTTCCCCACTGCCACCACACACGACTCATAAGGAGAGAAATGGCTCCTGTGATAGTCATCCCACAAGTCATTTTTGGCCCTAAAAACAGGAATAACCTCTTAATTATATCCAGCAAACAATTGCCCATCGCTTCAGATTTTTTGGTATAAGTATCATAGAATAATATAACCACTTAGTGTGACTTTACAAATGTAGCTCAATGTGGAAAACATTACAGTGGTCAAGATGGAAGGGAACCAAAGTATGGGTAAGCAATGCCAAAGATGACCTGCTCAGAAATGAATAAAACGGACATTGACTCCCGGGTATGTTTCAAAGCTGTTGCTTCAGGAGGCATGCACCCTGTTCAAAACAGGCTGACCCTCAATCCAGCTTTCTGTTTAAAAATAAAGGATTTGGGTCACTTGGACTGACCTATAAAATGTTAGGAGATTTGTATGCTGCTTTCCCAGGATTCTGCCCACTCCCTACCCCACCTCTTTTTCAACAGACAAAGGAGAACAAGGCAAAGAGTGCAATGAGTACAACCTAGTTATCCGCTAGATGGCAGCAATGCGTTTGCACTTTTATGACCCTGTGCTGCCATCCTGTGCTCAACCAGATTTTTGCGTTGGAGATATGATCGGAGATGTGGTTCCACAACTGAGGGGCCTGCTCTATAGATAAGCAGGAAAGGTTTGATATAAGAACTCTCCAGAAGCATCACATCCACACAGAACAATGCAAGTACTCTCCTCCTTCAATCCTAGTCAGTAAGTTGAGATCAGTTTAAATGACTCATTGTGACATGCTGTAAATAATGGAAATTAATGTTTGCCTATTGTGGCAGCTTGCACTGTGGATAGTTCATCTTTGTAGTTTTTACATATTGCATAGAAATATAGCAAATCTGTTTCCCCAGAAACCACTAGCAAGATTCTGTAAGGTTAAATATTAGAAATAAGAACAATGATGAGGTTGGTGTACTGTTTACATACATACATACATACATACATACATACATACATACATACATATGTACGTGTGTGTTTTCTTAGCCATCATTGTTCTTTTGCCTTCTGTGCTTTTGCGTTAAATATTTTAACAACTGTAAAGCATCCAGAGTTGCTGGGAGTCAAGTGGTATGTAAATTTAATAAATAATACCCCAGGTCCTTGGGAAGGACTCAATAGAAAGAAAAAAAATGTCAAATCTAGTCAAAAACATCTGGCTGAGTGTGCAACCAAACATAATAATAATATGCTGTCTGTAAACCAGCAATTCCAGACCACAAGAATTGCAATAACTCTCATTCCTCAAAGGGTGTCAATCAACTTTGTATGCACAGAAGCTGGTATGGAAAAAAAATCTGCTTTGCCAACGAGCCTGCCATACCGTCTTCATTTGCTATAAAGCTGTATGTACCTTTCAAATCTTTTTTTTTTTTTTTTGGGGGGGGGGGGGGAAGAAATTTTATTGGTTTTTTAGTTTTTCAAACAAAATGCTCAAGACACACCGTGGTGTTTAAGGTAGTCAAACATCCAAAGACAACACATATATACATAATTCAGTCAATACATCTAATATTCCCTCTCTTTTTCCCTCAAGTAACCTAATTTATTTAAAATAGTCCAATTCTAGCTTAAATTTATTCAACCTATACCTGTTTTAAAAGCTTTAGAAATGTACACTATCATAATCAAATTGACTTTAAGTACAAACATTATCAATTCGGGTATCCCTTCCAAATATATTCTAGTTTCTTAATTTTATCATAAATCTTATTTAATTCTTCCTCCACTAATATCCCTTAATTAAAATAATGTATTAATATCTATAGATATCTAGTCCATCAATTAATCGATCTCTTTAAACTAACAGAAGAAAATCAGACCTTAAATCATCTATTAAACAAAATTCAAATTACATCCAGTTAATTGTCATAACTAATAAAATCCGTGTTATCAAACAATCAAATCATCTTATTAGATCAGGGGTAGTCAACTTTGGCTCTTTTATGACTCGTGGACTTCAACTCCCAGAATTCCTTGGAATTCAGCTTGGAAACCTATCCCTTTCCCCTCAGCATGGCTGGCTCAGGAATTCTGGGAGTTGAAGTCCACGAGTCATAAAAGAGCCAAGGTTGCCTACCCCTGTATTAGATTAACTCCACATTACATAATAATTTTCTTACAAGTAACCCTATCATCCTAAAAAGAGAACACATTCTTAATACCTTTCAAATCTTCATCTTCAGTAGTGGTATTGCAGCTCTCTGTGGAACCCTGTTTAAGATAAAAACACCAGCATTCACAAGACAAGAAAAGCAGACAACAAGTAGGAAAAAAATGGACATTTGGCAACCTTCATTTCATTCGATGCAGTCTTATCCTAAATATCATTTTGAAATTCCACAACTGGCCTCTCAACATCTCCAAGGCATGTTGTTTAAATTACAGATAAATTATGAAATGCTTTCTGTAATCTTCTATACACTGACATTTTCTGGATATGTTTATTCATTTTTTACACGAAGCAAAATCTAGTGATTCCTGCCTGGCACAGGGCTTCCTTCACACAGGTCAAACTGTGTGACTGACACAATAATTATTGTTTGACTCCCAGCAATCAGAACCTGTCCAGCCAGCTTCTTATAAGCAAAATCAACGGGGTATGCTTAGTTGGTGGGTTAACAACTGCAGTGATTCAGATTTATATATTTTTTTAGAAAATTTCATTGGTTTTCTAGTTTTACATTTAAGTATTGGAAAAGCAACGTGGCGGCTGAGTTGGTCAATAGCATACGAATACCTTTAGTACAGATCTCAAACTATTACATTAAATGTTTCCCCTCTTTTCCCCTTAGTATTTACTGTCTCATCTTTAAATTAGTACAAGTCTTATTATATCAATTAAATAAAAAATAACTTTCTTGCGTTTATCAATGATATTTAGTTTATACATATCCTCGTTTTAACATTCAATCTTTTTAGACAATCAATGTCCTGGTTAATTTTTCCCAATTTTTGGTTTCCCATTAATATTTATATTTCACGTTTGATATTTATAATTTCCAAGTTTTAAATAACCCCAATTCCCTTTATCACAATTCATCACAAGATCTAATATTCAGAATGCACGTCTTATCTATTTGAGTTCTCACCATCTTACATCAACTAATTAGTAATACAATATAATATTCTTATTTTCTGGTAATTTCCAGATATCTTGAATTTAGTTAACCAAAATTCCTATTTCAACATTTAATACTTCCTGTCTTTTTCTCTTAATATCTACTATCTCATATTTAAGCTAATAATTTTTATGATTACCGCTAGGCAAAAAAATATTTATTACATTCATCGATTGATTTTTAGCTTATATATATCTTAATTGCCTTTACATTTAACCTTTATAAGCAAATCCATGTTCAAATTTAACTATTAATATTTATACTTCTAAGTTATAAATAACCAAGATTTTCTTGCAGTGATTCACTTACAACCTCTGGAAAAATATTGTTAAATTGGGTACGACTCACTTAAGAATTTCCTTGCTTAATAACATAAATCCTGGTCCAGTTATGGTTGTAAAGTTGGGAACTAACTGCAGTATCATGTTATAGATTTTGATTTCCTAAAAAATTTCCTACTACAAGCTTTTATATGGGATAACTCTCAGGACCAAATGGAACAAAATCCACAATTAAAAGACAGCTTAAAATAATAAAAGGAAACATGGCCAGGAAGAGAAGTTATATTGCAACTGTATATGATGAGAAACACCAGACTTAATTTGTAATTTGTAGGAAAAGTTGTATTTTGTATCACCTTTCCACCAACCATAAAAATGCAGAATATAAAAACATTGAATAAGTTTCGTATTTATTTGTATTATCTTTTCTGTATGAAAAAAGACAAGGAGAAATCTCCGAGTGAAGTATCCAAATATCTAAAACAATCAAGCTTTTTGCCATAAAGATAGGTACATTTCAAAATAAAACAGATTTTTTTTAATGCCAGCTATCTAATAAACTAGGTAAGCCAGTTAGATAGCATAGGATTCAGGGAAAATTTAGCTGATCATTTCTTCTAGCAGGATTATACAATTAATTACGTATAACTTTGGCTAACGTAAATCCTACGCAATGTATGCGATTTCAAAGGATAAGGAAGAGGCCAGTCTGAAATTACGGAAGTCTTTTTGCGAACCTCACCTTACCTTTATGCCATCATTAGCATTGTGGACAACAGTAGTCTGCGGTTCCTAATTGAAAGAGGACAGAAATAAAGAATCAGATTCTAGCTCAAAGCATGTTTCCTTCTCTGCGCAGTATCTGTTGGGAAAGCAAAATAACAAACAAGAACGAAGCGCAAGATTTCTATCTGAGGATGGTGTGAGCAGATAACAGATAACACAGATCACTCCCTTGGACAGCCCCCAAAGACCCACTAACACAGGGGTGTCAAACTGCCGGCCCAAAAAAGTCGCAATACGCCGCAACACATCACGTGACATGGCGAGTTTGACACCCGTGCACTAACACCTATATTTTCTAGGAGACAAAGCCATGGTATTTCTCCATATTCTAACAAGCTATATGCATTTCATCTGAAAGCTCGTTGCAGCTATCAAGAGAAAAGCTTGGGCAGACCGTTGTAATTCATTAAATAAAGGGAAAAGGTCCACTTAAAATTTCACTCGGAACAAAAAGGCTGAACATATGGCTTTGTCTCCATGTCTTCCCCACACAGCTTTTTGGCATTATTTCTCCCTCTCTACGGGGACATTCATAATTTCCCACGCAATGGGCGACAAAGGCACCCGTATATGCTATACATAGCAAAGAACTACGCAGAGAACAGGCAAAAATCTCATGTCTGATTCAAATTGAGTTGCCGAGATGGGATGACTTCGATACGAAGACAAGAAGATAAATAAGCAACTTACAAGCAACTCTTTTTAAAGCCGGTGCAATCTGGGATACACCGCGTTATGTGGGAATTCAAATTATGAAATATTCCCAAGAGGGGGGGGAAAAGCATTACGGAGAATGAAAAGCAACTATCCAGTCTCTAAGAATCCCATTAAGTTCTTCTGCTGGCCCTCATTCCTGAATTATCATGGAGAGGCTTGTCCTTATCCAGTTTTGTTACCAAGGAGCCTTCAGGTGCCTCCTCGTCAGCAGTATGACTCAGCGCCATAATGCTCTCCCGTTTTCCCATCAGATACTGCATGAGGCGATCGCTCGGTTTTCAAGGACAACAGCAAAGGGCCTTTCCACTGCCTTAATGGAATGGGTGGCCCTTGGCAAGAGAGTTAGTGAGGAGCAGCGGAAAAACCCTGTGCAAAATCAGACCACAGAAGAGTTTTCCATTCCTTCCTTCCTTGGAGACTGGATGATGATGGCCACTCTGCTGCAGCCTCCTTCGGTCGGCGGGACCCACATACAGAGACACCAGAGCACTTTGCACCTCCAACTGGCAAGGAAGCTGGGATAATGTTTGGGAAGGCAGACAGAACTAAGCCAAAACAAAAGAGCAAAAACAGGCAGCATTCTGGCCAAAGGGTGAGACCAAAAAAAGGAAGCAAGGACGAAGAAATGGTTGGGAAAAATACCATGGACATCTGCACTGGGGGCGTTTCTTTTGCTGGGCTTACTACACTGGCTTTGTTGTTGGTCTGTGGCTAAGACAGAAAAACAGATGGTTTAGTTTTAGCTCTGCCCCCCTGGGCAGTCATCATAACAACATGACATTTATGGCTAAAAATTAGTTTCAGTCCCTTCCCAAATCAACCCTAGGAGAGAAGAGAGCTTGAACGGACGATAACAAGCACGACTTTATTTATCACCTCCCACAGATTTAACGCCAGAAAGTCAAGACAGGATGGGCAAAATGAGGAGATGGAAAATGACGGTTGGCCCAAAGTGTATGGAGGAAAATGAGTGGCCCAGACAGATTTTTAAATCAACCAATGGGTGGAGGAATTTAAGAAAAGGGAACATATCTTCTCATTCAAGATGTGTAAGAAAGACAGTCAGCACAAGCTACCCTGGACAAGCATCCTACTCAGAAGTTAGCAAGTGAGCCAAGGTGCCTTCAGGTTCACCTGTAGAACTTAAATAGTGGAAAGGGAGGTTTCATTGCCGAGAGTTACAGAACGAATTTGTTTTGCACTGGCCCATAACAATGTCTGAAAGCCTGTTGTATTCGATCTAGTCCCATCGTGGGCTGGATTACCCAACAGTCGCAAACAGTTCCTTACAATACCTATAATAAATGCATGACAAAATCGCACCTGCTAAGTAAAATGTAACAAGCAAAAAAAGCATCTGGACGTAGAACTCCCGCATTATGCTTTTTTTTAGGGGGGGAAACGGACTGTGACAGAATCAAACTTCTTCCAGATCTTTTCTGCAACTGTACATTTCAGCAGGCACCAAGCCCAACTCCCCATTTTAAAGGTTTTCGTGTACAGCGACGTAAAAAAATAGCATTGTTATTAATCTCGAGCAGTGCTGTGAATAGTAATAATGCCAAAACAGAAAAACGATGCCCTCTATAAGATAGTCCTCACTTAAACAACCCTAATTACGACCAGAATTTTCCACCCCGGAGGAAAGGGTCATTAGGCAAAACGTCATGTGGCCACACTGCTTAACAACAGCAGTTCCCCTAGTCCTCATGGTGGTTGTCGGCGAGGTCTTCGTGCCTGCTTCTCCTTCCCTGCACAAACTGATGCCTCAATCCCGTGGCCTCCTCCTCAGCTGGGCCCAGCAAGCTCGATTCCCCTAACGAGGATCTACCGCTTTGCTGTGCTTGCCTCTGCTTCAATTCCCCCGCCTCTTCCTCCACCAAAATCTCCGCCCTTTTGGCTGCCCTCCACTCCACTACTTCAGGAAGGGCCAGCAACTACTCCGGCTGGGAGTGCTTCAGCAGCAGCAGAGGAAGAAGACCGTGAAGGTCAGCAGGGGGCAGGGACAACGGCGGAAGATCACTGGGCGGGGCAGTTGAATGCACATAGTTGTGCATTCAGGCGGGCTACCAAGTACCTGCATTTTGATTGTGAGGGCACTACAATGGCCACAACGTCAAGGACTAGTCGTAACTAACATTTGTTCAACACTGTCGTAATTTTGAATGGTCGCCAAACAAATGATTGTTAAGCAAGAACTACCTATAGAAAAATCAACACATGTGTTGCTTCAGTATTATGAAAGGAACGTGGAGGACAGAGGATCCGTGGGATCAGACCTCTCCAATGGCTGCTAAGAATTTGCAAGCATTCCATATAGCTGCCTCCCCTTTCAGAACCAAACCTGGGCTTCTTCCCTAGAACTAGCTCCTTGGAATCGGTGCTAAAAACGAACTCTACATGGATATTAGCGCCAGCCCTCCCTGGAACACGTCTAAGAAAACCAGCCATTCAATCAGGGATACCACACTTGGTCCAGGCCTCTCTCCTTAATTAATCGTGCCTCAGTGCTCCCAAATGACTCCTACAGTAGTGGCCAAAATTGTGGAAACCTTTTGGGAAAAGTGTACAGTAGAAATGTCATCTTTGGTTAAGTTTCCACCCATTTTTCTTCTAATTTCTTTATAACTGTAGCCTATGTTCACTTCATAATACTATTTTACATCGCTTTCTGGGCAACCAGTCAACTCATGACTTTAATTTTATTACGTTTTACAAGCTCACTAAATGAAAGAGGAAAAAAAACCCAACCAACTTGATAGCGATCACATAACACACTGACAAATGTCCTCTCAGCTTCAATACAGGACATCAATAACTGAATCCTACTGTGATCTGATTGGGTCATTGCCAAAACAAGAGGACACCCGATTGGCTCTCTAAACACTCATGCTCATTGGCTACAATCAGATGAAAGAAAGCTACCCGATATCCACCTAAGCAAGTTGTGCTTCCTTTTTCTGGTTATTTGGCTATAACTGTTCATAGAATACATTACAGACAATTGAACAAACTATGTTGCATTACATTTTTGATTAAATTATCTTTCCATTGATATATAATTTTATGGTACTACTCCAAAAAAAAGTGGTGTTATTAGCCATCAAACCTGAAAAATACACTTTTCCCAAAAGGTTTCCACAATTTTGGCCACTACTGTAGTATCTTGTTCAGTCTTTCTACTAGCCAAGACTGCATCAGTTCACCCCAAAAGGTGCCACCACTGAAGGAAGCCCTTGAGAGAGGTTTTGAAGGGCTATTATGGAGAGCAGGGACACCCTTGTTCTTTTTCTACACATACTGAGAATATCTGAGAGATTAAAAAAAAAAACTACTACTGGTTTTATTGTAGCTTGGTGTTAAGACAAAGACCTGGAGATAGAAATGAGGAAAAGGAAATAGCTTGGGAACAGGTTCTAAGGCAGACATGTCAAACACAAGGCCCGGGGGCCGGATGCAGCCCGCGAAGTGGTTTCATGTGGTCCACGAAGCCATCCTGGAAACAGTGAGGGAACGGCCCCTGCTGCCCTGGCCCAGGCTGGCCGGGAGCCAATGTACAATTTTGTGGTGGCCATCTATGCTGAAATGCATTCAGTCTTAGCTCCACAAGGCCGTCTAGAAACAGCGAGGAACCAGCCCCTGCTGCGTCGGCTCCGCCCCCTGGGTGCATGCTGGGGAAGTGTCACCCTTTGTGAGGAATGAAGAAATGGACCATGCCTTGGCGCTTGCCCCGGTCCCGCCCCCTTCTGCCAGAGACCCTCAGATCTGTCCCACTCCTGCCCAGGCCCCCACAGGCACCCTTGACGCGAACGATGTAGAGCTGGCCATGCCCACCTAGTAGGCCACACCCATTCCATCCATGCCCACCCAGTAAGCCACACCCACCCTGGCCACACACACCCAGCCCCCCCCAAGGGCAACCGCAATGCTGATGCGGCCCTCAGTGAAATTGAGTTTGACACCCCTGTTCTAAAGTCACAGCAAGATTGCAACCTACTAGTAGGCCGCTAACTGGTTTCCCTTCCTTTTAGGCTGAATTCTAACCAAGGAAGTAAAAGTGATAGGGAAGGAGGCCCCTCCCTTCCGAGTCCTGTTCCCCAATACAGGATGATTACTGGTAAATTATCACTGAATGAGATCAAAGAAAAGAATTCACCCTTATGTGGCGATTCCATAATATGGTAGGCTAATAATGGAGGATAATCAAAAGTAGCGATGGTGGATTGACCCTGATCTACAGAAATGTCAGTTTGTTGACCAAAGGCTCCGTCCAACAATTTGCTGGTTCCGAATACGTTATACTCTTTCATTTCTGATCTACAGAAATGTCAGTTTGTTGACCAAAGGCTCCGTCCAACAATTTGCTGGTTCTGAATACGTTATACTCTTTCGTTTCTGATCTACAGAAATGTCAGTTTGTTGACCAAAGGCTCCGTCCAACAATTTGCTGGTTCTGAATACGTTATACTCTTTCATTTCTGATCTACAGAAATGTCAGTTTGTTGACCAAATGCTCCATCCAACAATTTGCTGTTCTGAATACATTATACTCTTTCACATCTTCTGTAAAAAAAAATTTAAAAAATGGTTGCTTGTTGTTGCTTTCTCTTCATCTCAAAATCCAGTCCTACTACTACAGCCTGTTGCTACTGCAATGGCTGCTATTCTAATAAAAATGACAGGGCTTAGGAAGAATATAAAAAGCAACCATATGCGTGTGCGTGTGCCTGAATAAGTTCACAAATTTATACTATTTTTAAATGTTTTTACCACTATCACCTATTTTGGAATGCAACACAACTTTCTTCTCAAAACATCTGCTTTATACCACCTGTGGGCTTGAACACAATCCGTTCTGAGTATGCGCTCCCAGAGAAAGACCGGGGACTGGGTAACAGCCGAGACCTTAGGCAGCGGCACTAATCCTCCTCAAAAGGCCATTCCTTGACCCAGTCATCCTGGACTACTATATCCATTAAAATCCATCGTTACATTGATAATGTGTTTATAATTTGCTTCAATGACAGTGTCATGGTTCCGACAGATGGAACTCCTCAAAAGAACTTCGAGGCATTGTTTACCTTAAAGAATCTTTTATTCAAGAAACAAAGTATTGGCACTACATAGTTAAAGCCAAAAACTGAATTCCCTTCCCCGGGGCACAAAGTAGCAAAGCACAATTCCCTCCTCCAATTAACAGTCATAAATCACATTCCCCAATTAGCTTGAAGCGTGGGCTTTCTCCCCAGCTCTCCAGCCCCGCAATCACCTTGATTCCCACGGCTGAGTTATTATTGTTATGACTAGCTGGACTCTCATCCAGATTCCCCCTCCCAGCATCAACTAACTCTAAAAGCAAAAGAGCAAAATGGCTGCACTTCCATCTGTTGTCAAAGCGAGAACATCCGATGTTAGCAGCGTTGACAGACAGCTTTAATATATTTTATATATTTCAAATATTTGGAGGGGTGAGTTAGCACAACTGGACTGAACAAAGCTATTTTTTTCTGCAAATTATATTAACATCTACTGATCACGCAACAATCTATTAACCGAGGCAGATGATTCACTGACACAGGCCACTTTTGAAGGCCTATAGATATAACAAAGATTGGATTGGACACTGACTACAGATAGCTGTATTCAGCTTCTTGTGAAAATATCCCCTGCGACTCTGCCGAAATGGTAAATGATAATGCATCGGTTGTCTT